GGGGGGGGGGGGTGATCCATTCACGAGGGATGTCGCGAGACTTTCGGAAAACGTAAAAATACTCCAGCCGCAGGCGGGTGTATCTTTACGCTTTCCGAAAGTCGAGCAACATCCCAAGTGCATGGATCACACTATCCTGATTAGAAAACCATTGTTTTATAAAATAATTACAGTGAAACAATGGCATTTTGAAAATGCCGAGAAAATTCCGCGAAGGCATTTTAATACCTCGTGCAGGATAGCCTGATCCTCCACGAGGACTATTGACCAATCAAATTGCGTGTTTCACTGTGGTTCCAGCTTACATGCATGCATGAGACGTCTCAAACGGGAGGGGCATGAAATTTCAAGGGGGAGGTGCAAGAAATCCCAGAGGAGGCTCAAGGGAGGTGCGTGCCGCCCTACACCTCCCCTCAAAATCCGGCCATGAGTTAATGCTTTTAGGGGTTTTTTTCAACCTTTATTTCTACAATGAAGTCCAATCGGTAGTAAGAACTCCTGCTATCAACTGGAGCTCTGCAAACATATATCTAAATTTCAATATTAAGATAATTTTACAAATTTTATAGTATTAAGATAAAACAAAGTACTAAACTAAAATACATTCGATGTGGTTACTGTTATTAAAATCAATATTCCTAAGAAAATCTGTGCGTTCCCATTGAGATGCGATGATGGTATTGACTTCCTCAGCACTGTATTCTATCTGTCGTAGAAACACCATCATCGTGTAGAAGGCATCACAACCAGCGTTATGTAGATCACTCTTTTGATAATTAACCTTGTATTCTCTCAACAAATGAGACAGACCACGCATGAAATATTTCTCACTTTCTTTCAAACTTTCCTTGTAGGTTTGGACGACTTGAGTGTCGAACATATCTTTACCAAGGACGCTCAAATCGACGCCTATATTTCTGAGGTAAGCATCGTCATGTTTTACTGAATGACCAAGAATGTAATCACTTTCTCTTACATCTTCACGAAACCTTTAAATAATAGTAATAATAGTAATGATAATCATGATATTAAGGGAAGATTAAGGGCTGGTTTACACTTTCAAAGTTTCTGTGATCACAGTTGGAATTTTGCATAGGTAAATTTGAAGGATTTGTAAGAAATGTTTGAGGAAACTGACTGTGTTAAACAGTGAGTCAATTCCCTCAAACATTTCTTACAAATCCTTTAAAACTTACAGTTTACCCTAGCAAAATTCCTATTGGATCACAGAAACTTTCACCGTGTAAACACGCCTTAACGAGTGTAAACATTTGAAATATAAAATAATATGAACTAATAATGAACCTCAGTAAATAGAAAAGTGATAGACATCCGTTGAAACCCAATTAAAAATATTTCATGGAGAAGGTCTCCTCGCACACGAAAATGATGATTATAATAATTTACTGGGTAACATTTTAACTGTATGGCTCTTGATTTACATGTTTAAAGTATTTGTGCTTGATTTACACAGTAATAACTAAAGTTTTAAGCAGGTTGCATGGGACGGTTTTAGGCAAAAGTTGTAGTCTAAATCGCCCTTAATTTACAAATAAAAACCTTTCCACTGCATCCTCCAGCGACAAGGTTTTCGAAACACCAAACTTGAATCCATCTCTGTTGTCTGGAACGTTATCTTTGTTCTTGAAGTGAAGATTCTCTTCAATTATCAGATGTTCCCGACTGATCACTTCTGCCTTGGGAAGATTACCTTCTGTGCGATGTCGTACAGGCGAGAAACGAACAATGACGTAGCCGATTTCAAGAACCTGCGAGTGATCGTGCTCGTACGCCTCGATATCAAATGCCAAGAAATCTTTTTCATCCTGTATACTGAAAGCATTTCTCACCAAGACAAAGTGATTTTGTGCTTCTTCGTGTTTTCTTCTGATAATCGGTTTGTTCATTTCAGCCACATCGTTTTCACGTAATTGGCGGAATTCATGAGCGTTTCTAACCGATTTTTGTTGCCTTGCTCCTCCAGGAAACAATTCCTGTGTTCGAACGTCTGGTAACTTTAGCTCGAACGTCTTTAACTTCTTTTCTAATTTACGTTTGATATCTAAACATTGGTCAGTTGTGATACAAACGTGAAACAGCTCGTCGTACAACTGTGTTATAGTAAAGGAAAATCCACGATTGTTTGCAACGAACTTGTTTAAATACGTTTTGACATTTCTACCTGTTTCTTCTGAAATTTTATAAGCAAAGCCAATCCAATGTCTTCTCATCTGTTCCCAGCTGACCATAACCTCTTCACTGCAACAAAAAATGTTGGATCAGATTTGGCGTTCAAAATTTTCACCCTACACTGTTGTGTCATGGATGTGTTTAGATTCGGCACATGAAAATTAGATGTCTGAAACCAGCTTGCATGTCCTACTTATAATGGTTCATGATTTTCTGTTATAACGAATTTCTCGACTTGCATTTTATGTACGACATACAATTGCATGCGAATTTATACCTTGAATTTGCTATAATGAAACAAAAACTTGCATGCAGCTGGGTTCGTATATATACGGGTGATGGAAAACCTGGAAAGTTGGTTGTCGTATAAACTGCGTATCTCTTGTGTATGTATAGCTACTTGCATGCATGTAAAATGTGTATTCAGCCTCCCTTACCGTGAGCTTTGTGTCGAATAAGCCATCTTTGATTTGTCCAAGAAAAGCTATCCACTGAAATTTATTTCTTTAACAGTTACTTTATACGAGAAATGTGGCGTAGTTATTGCGAATTGTTTTCGTAGAACAAAGCGTTATTTTGAATATTTAATTGTTTTTTACAAATCGTCTAGGCAATGTCAACTCGGTTTCAATTTATTATTTATAGCTGCACGCCTTAAAAACAAAACAGTTATACCACAACTTACAAGCAATTTGAAACTACGAAATATACATTGGTATATATCCATGCATACTTCAGAATTTTTTTTTAAAGGATTATAAATTCCGATTTGACGAATCGTCAGTCATAGTGTAAATACAAGACGAACTACCATACAAACTAGCTAAACTATAGGCTACCGCATTTATACTGTTCAGAGCATTCCGGAAAGTTCGGAACACTAGTACAATTGAACCGAAAACGGCCACGTGACTGTTCTGGCTGCCCCTACTCCAAAATACGGGCAACCAGAACAGTCACGTGACCGTTTTCGGTTCGATTCTATTATAGTGTTCTATCCAGCGTACTCGCCGAACAGTAAATCGGTGGCAAAAGCAGCATTACGTGGTACTTTGTAGACAAATGATGGGACTATCAGGGGGCTGTGAGGGATAATTGTGCAGTGAGGTGCAGTTTGATTATGGTTTTGATTCAGGTTTTGATTTTAATTCAGGTTTCAATCCAGGTTATGGTTTTGATTCAGATTATGATTTTGATTCAGATTTCAATTCAGATTTTGATTCAGATTTTGATTATGGTTTTGATTCAAGTTTTGATTCGGGTTTTGATTCAGATTTTGATTCAGATTTTGATTATGGTTTTGATTCAAGTTTTGATTCAGGTTTTGATTCAGATTTTGATTATGGTTTTGATTCGAGTTTTGATTCAGGTTTTGATTCAGATTTTGATTATGGTTTTGATTCAAGTTTTGATTCAGGTTTTGATTCAGATTTTGATTCCAGATTTTGATTATGGTTTTGATTCAAGTTTTGATTCAGATTTTAATTCAGATTTTGATTCAGGTTTTGATTCAAGTTTTGATTCAGATTTTGATCATGGTTTTGATCCAGGTTTTGATTTTGATTCAGGTTTTGATTTTGATTCAGGTTTTGATTTCGGATTCGGGTTTTCTAACCAGCTCTGTATATTTTATATATTTATTCATTTTTTCTAGTTTTTTATGAGCGGCGAAGCCAGTGTTCAATAATCTTTCTCTTTCTCTTCATCACTTGAATTGTTTTTTTCCATGTCAGATTCACTCGAGACACTACTGCCATGTGCGTGAGGTGATTTTG